ATTTTTGAAATTTTAATGAAGTGCCGAATAAAATGATTGGTTTTTGACAGTATGCGTGTTGGTGACACTGGTAGGCAAGGCCATCATTGTTATTATTAAGGACAGTCAGACAGAAATATGTGTTAGTTATGAAGAGGAACCCTCCTGCAATGTTTGAAAGTTAGGACAATAGTTTGCGACAAGAAAAAATGGCGTGATTTTGTAGTTACAGTTTTTCACAAATTAATTTTTAACTTTAAATATTATTACGTTTTAAGTTTCTTAATCCATTGTTGCTTGTTTAAGCTGATGGCTCTATAGCCAATGCTCAACAAATAAATAAATAATAATAATATGTAATAAAAAAGAAACAATAGTTTTTGTGATGTGATTTATTTTTAAATTTTAACACTAGGGGAGCAGGTTCAATAGAGCTTGTGAAATCGTAAGGCTTCGCTTCACTACGGCCTTTGAATTCTAACCTATATTGGCCTAAACAAGCCAAAACTTTAAATAAAAAACAAACCTATATTGAACAGTTTCATTTTTGTACAAAGAGAGTTGTGTGCATTTTACATACAATGCAAAAAATACCTCCATACTCCATACTGGGAAGGCACAGGTCGCTACCAGAGGACATCAAAACTGTCAGGAAGATTCTTCAGTTTTCAATGCTTTGGCCTTAGTTCTGAGTTGTAATTAGTGGTGATTATTATTAGGGTGGCTTCATTCAGGGTCTATGCATCCCCTCATCACTGCGACCATTGACTGATCGATCATGATCACCACTAATTACAGTGCAGAGCCAAGGCCTGTCGGCCTTGAAGAAGTGGACGCGTTGAAGAGATGAAGGACTTTCCTGGCTCTGACAGATTTTATGTCCTCTGGTTGTGGCATTAGCCTTCCCAGTATGGAACTTCATACGTCCGTCAGGGGGTAGCATTGGGTGAGTAGATGAACAGGAGTTTCATCCTCCTCGTGGCAGAATCTACACTATTCTCTGCCCAATACATGACATTTGCTTGTTCAAACCACAATTCCCTGTTAAGACTAGTGAGCATTCTTATATCATTCCTATCTAATGACAGAGCTTCGTTTCAGAGTTAGGCACTGTAGGCAGCTATCAGGACTTTTGAATGCTCAACACCCTTGCTCTGTAGCCACACTTCTCGGAGAGATATGTGCTCTCATTCAGAGAGTGAGCTTTGATATATGTGGTGATTATAATAGATCAGCTAAAGGTTGCAGTGCTGAAGGGCTGCCCTGATAATAATAATAATAGTAATTGATTATGGTTTTGTTGTTTTAAATATTAATTAATTAATTAATTTTTTTAGTACAGCACATGTAAATTTTAATTAAGTATAAAGAATATGCAACGTTATGACTTTGCTATAATATTGAAACATAATAGGTACATACATTAATATTATATAGTTATAAAATCTTTCTTTTCCTTGCCCACCAGGAAAAAAAACAAAATTGGTTTTAAAAATGAGTTTTGTTGCCATTGACTTACAAATAAATGGATGACGGGTCTAATACAACAACCACGAAAAAAATGTCCCAAGTCAACCTATTTAAACGTAGTGACATGTAAAGGAATATGAAAAAGCTAAAACGTTGAATTTAAATTGTAATGTCATCGCAGTACTGTCTAATTTTGCTTGCTTCGCTGTCAGTCGAACAAACGAAGACTAAAGCGTGAATGACGCTCTGTATACGATTTTAACGCCCTATAAGTTCGGACACTTTTTAGCGCGGACCCGACGTCCATATAATTGTAAGTCAATGTTTGTTGCTAAAGAAAGCTACTTAAACATTTTTTTGATAACTGGTATGTCACGTAGAGCTCCCAATTTTTTTTGTCACAAGAAATGATGGTCCAACACAAAAAAATGGGAGGACCAACAGTTTTTGTGTGAATAAATTTTTTATCTATACATATATGTGATACCAATAAAATTTCAAAATCAAGCTGTCAATGGGGGAAGCTTTTACGTTGGTGACGCCTAGCCGTTAAAGTTATATAATAGAATTACATTTTTTCAGCTGGTCGTATATTAATAGAATTGAGGTCGGATGTTGTTCCAAAAACTGCAGAAAATTTTCGCGCACTATGCACGGGAGAAAAAGGCATTGGTATATTTGGACAGCCATTGCATTACAAAGGATCTAAATTTCATAAAGGTGAGTTTTTAATAAATTTGATGTGTAATAGCTGGCAATTGCAATATTAAGAATACTTCCAAATTTCACATGACATTTAATAATATAATAGGCTATTATTAGTTACTTTTATTGTAATTGTTTACTTGGCATTTGAATTAAATAGTATGTTCAATTTCAAATTGAAACAACGAAATATTTCCTAGGTTAACAAATTACACTTGAAATCGTCACACTGATAAGATTCCCAAAAATAATGAGTAAGACACTCTAGGGATGCTCTTTGTAAATAAATATTTGTATACATTTATAATTTATTTTAGATCAAGACAACCTGCAAAAGCTAAATCGGTCACAATCTAGATAAACACCAATGATCTAGGTTCTAAGTAGAAAATTGTACTCCCAAGGACACTCAGCATTATATAGAAGTGCCAGAGAATTCCAATTTTGAAAACATTATATCGTAAATGGATACAATACAAAATATTCATTGCAACACAAAGAAAGATTGAGTAAGCAAACTGAACAAAATTGGAAATACACTGTCATACGTGGCTGTGGTGTATGCAAAAGATTCTACATAGGTAATACCACAGCCAAGTTGAGGCTGTGACACTGGTTTTCAGTGAACCCCAAAACCCCGCGAGCACTGGATGTGTGTGCCGAAGTTTTATTTTTTAAAAGGTTTTGTTTTACTATAGTTTTAAACCTCTTGAAATGCTAATTTTGTATATCAACCGGAATCTTGTTATAGAAGCGTATACATTGCCCCTTAAATGATTTTTTGACTTTGTTAAGACAACTATCAAGAAAAGCTAGTTTATTTTTATTCCTCATATTAATGTTATGTCTGTCACTATTTTTCATAAAGAAGTTACTATTCCTTTTAACATAAATTACATTTTCATAAATGTACTGTGAGTGCTAGTGTAAGAATGTTAATTTCCTTAAACTTATCTCTCAAAGATACTTTGGGGCCCAGATTGTACATTGCCCTAACTGCACATTTCTGCAGGACAAATATTCTATTGATATCGGCGGCATTACCCCAAAGCAAAATGCCGTATGTTATTAGACTGTGAGAGTAGCTGAAGTAAACCAATCTAGCGGTTTCGACATCTGAAAATTTCCTTATTTTATTAATCGCGTACACTGCAGAGCCGAGCCGTTTTGATAACTTACTTATATGGGGACCCCATTGCAATTTAGCTTCTAACGTTATATATGTGTATCCACAAGATTCAATTTTTCGTTTCTCTATCTTTTTGTAGGCGTTACAAATATTTCACCCGGAATCGAACCTGAGACCTCTGCGTGGTAACCGCTCTGCCACAGACACAGTTAAAAAAAAATCAAAATGTAAAAATATTTATATACTTCATTTTACCACACATCCAGTGCTCGCGGGGTTTTGGGGCTCACTGAAAACCAGTGTCGCAGCCTCAACTTGGCTGTGGTATTACCTGTATAGAATCTTTTGCATACACCACAGCCATGTATGACAGTGTAATTCCAATTTTATTCAGTTTGTTTACTCAATCTTCCTTTTGTGTTGCAATTAATATTTTGTGTATCCATTTACGATATAATGTTTTCAAAATTGGAATTCTCTGGAACTTCTATATAATGCTGAGTGTCCTTGGGACAGAGCATTAAGCTTTATACTTTTGTTTGAATATCACCTCCAGAGCAACGGAACAAGATCCTGTTTAGCTTAATATGCTACTGTCTTTACAAGGAATTCTCAAGTTTGTGACCCGGTGTTGTATGTCCATTGGTGTGGTTATCTTGCACATTATTGTTATTATTAAGACATTATTGTTTATAGCTACACATCTATAATTTATTTATATACTTGTTTCATTTGCACACATCAATTCATCATAGATAAATGTTACTAGGTTTATTTATCGGTATTAATTTTTATTACCCATTTTGTTTAGCAATTGTATAAATTCCATAACAAAGAAAAACATGTTAGGTAATTTTTTAAGTCGACTGTAGATTGTTTGAAATCTATTGTTTTAAACATGAGCAATGATTTAAATTCCCTGTGCAATTGGACTTGGATCATGCAATGGCCGTAAGGTCACGGTTGCATAGCGATAAACCTAAATGCGTAACGCCTCTCATGAAGTCTACACACACGTTGCTTGTTGCAAAATACCGGCTGGAATTTTCGCAATGCGTTTGCATTTTGTACTATACATAGATAAGTTAATAACATACACAGTGGTGACATATCGGCCGGTATTATCGGATCGTAGAACGACCTAGCAGGACTATATTACTAACATCATAAACAACAACTTTTATTCCGAGCGGCAGATATATAGAAATCGTTCTGTGTACGTTTAGATTCTCGGATTTCTCTCAGAGAAAAGGTTAAGGAGACTGGTATCATGACTGTGGCATCGCAGTACATTTACTCAAATATTTATATACCCGTAAAAATATACATAAGTAATTTAAGAAAGAAGATATTCATAATATTAACCTTAGAACTAAGTCCAAACTCATGGTACCACGTTATCGTTTAACTAAGGTAAACGATTCTTTTATATGGAACTGTATACGTTTTTACAATAAGATTCCGGAGCATATATTAAGATTACCATTTCCTAAGTTTAAAACTTACGTAACACGTAAAACGTACGTTGTAGACTACGTATTAGATAAAGATGTATGGAAAGACAACGTGAGTCTAGATTCCACACACATATGATTCAAAATGTATTCTATAGCATTTAAGTTTATGAAAAAAGCAATCCCTATAGTTTCTTGCTCGTTCGTCTCAGGTCGTCGTAGTGAAAGAGCAGTAGAAAAATGACGTTTTCAAGTGTACAAATTGTACGTATGGAATAAATGATTATTTTACTTTGACTTTGATGAATAAAAATAAAAATATTAGTAAATAGATGGCTTTAAACGGTGGTAATTTTGTGCGTCGAGGAGGACGCTTGCATTTTTAAACGTATACTAAGGTATATTCAAGTGTGCAAATCTATGTTTGGTAGTAAGTTACCAAATACAAATCTAAAAACAATCAGATAGTACGTACAACAAAAACTTCAGTTTCAAAAAAAAATCTAACCGAACAAGTCGTGCGCCTGATGGTAAACTACAAGTGTAGTAGATCTTCAAACGGTAAAGACTTGAGGGACACTGCCACCCTGCGCCCGTCACCCTGAGACATAAGTTGACAAGATCCATGTGCCTATAATTTCACCAGTACCCTTATCCTTGAAAACCGATACTACCATTATACCGACATTACCAATATTTTTGTGTTTTGTAGGTCATGGAACAAAAGTAGTTGTTTGGGTTGTTAGAAATATAGTCCTGTGAAGCGGTTAGTATTTTAAGACTTACCCTGTATGTTGCGTATTTTATTCTACGTTTTATATAATACTGCAAGGGGTTTCCTATAAACCGCTAAACTTAGTCATGCTACTTTTAACCGATTTTAAAGAAAAGGAGAAGTTATTCAATTCGACTGTATTTATTTTAATGTATGTTTCGCGATAATTCTTGATGATTCTTGTTTAGTTGGAAAGAGTTACCTCGATATTAAATTTGAAGGAAATATTCCATCTCTAGGAGATGAATCCGGTTTCGCGCGCTTTCCGGTAACCGATTTCAATAAAACTTGGCAAATAGATGTAATTTCACGAACTGAGAAAATATACGCGATTTATATCCTAAAAAAAATAGTTTTTGTTTTCCTATGTGTACTTAGCAATCGCAAAAACCCAAGAACTCTACAATATGATTAATTCAATGTGACGTCTCAAGTGTACATTGCTTACCTATGAAATAAGTTATTTGAGTTTTATCATTTGTTTCGTTTTTTATCGATTAGGCAATTTGTTATTCATTTTTATGGATGCTCTTGACGAATGTTAGAGCGATTACTTGTTGTGTTGGGTGATTTTTAGCAGCGATGCAAACGCGATGCAAGCGCGATACAGTAGCGATGCAGTCGCTAATCATCTGCCTTTACACACCGACTCATCCGAAGAACAGAGTCCGTTGTGATTTGTATAGCGAAAAGAAAATAGGCACATTACGAGAATAATTTCGTTATTCTAACTAAGGTAAAGGTAAAGAGGTTTTGAGAATTTATATACCTTATTTCGTTTCGGAAGTATAAAATCAAACAACAGTCGATCTGACATTCACAGCAAAGAAGAGCGAACAAAATGTACTATGTCCTGAGAACAAGTAGTTTTGCACATAGATCTTTGTTCTACGGATGAGTCGACACACGCGCGACTTTAAGCAGCGATGCACATGCTATGCAAACGCTATGCGTACTCGATGTAAACGTTATGCACATTTTAAATTAATTAACTAATTTTATTTAATTATTAATTTCACTTTTATGTGTGCATAGACCTGTAAAATTTTTCGTACATCATGATTCAACATAAGCAACTGTATCGAGTTTGTAATCGCCTATAAATCGCAAGTGTAGCGATGGAATCTCGCGTTTCAAAACGCGCGTTTACATCGCTGCCAAAAGTCGCCATGTGTAACCACTCTTAACTAAATTCCCTACCGCGTAGATAGGCGCACGTTATCGCAAGTATTGCATACATACTTGCGCCTGTCTATGACGCACAGTGTTCGACCGCAATTTCACCTGAGTGCAAGGCGAGGACGTTGAGATCAAAGATGGAGCATGCTATGAAGTCGCTTTTCCGTCTTGCCTTGTAATGGAAAGATTACGTTTATGATTAGAACAGACGTATTTATGCGTTTTAGAAAAGAGCATGCTTTTTGCTTCTTGCGTTTCTTATAATGGAATCGTTGAAATGTGATTCAGGATCGATTCTGTTGCAAAATCCCTGTCGTCATTTCTAAAAAACGTATCTCTAAATGTGTGCCCAGAGGGCGCAATTGCAAAGTTAAGATTTCGTCAACTAAAATTGAAAGTGTTAAGAAACCATACATTATATAGTTTTATTTTTTTTGTAGTTTTGTCAAAAACGATTGTTTTTCGAAATCAGCTTGAAGTTGCGTAATCAAAAGTAATAGCGGACCAAGAGTAATGCCTTAGGGGACTCCCACTTCACATAATAAATCGTTTTCTTAGTGTAAAGGTGCGTACAGATCTGGCGAATGCGCCACGAACGCTCTGCATATTCGCTGCGCGTGCGCTGCTCGCATGCTGAATGCGCGTTGCATGCGTGCAATTAAATACACGTTAACATATGCGGCTTGCGAACGATACGCGAACAGATTGCACAACGTAATTCTTGTGTGCAGTTCGCGAGCTTTTCATAAGAGTCATAAAAATAATATCAACTACACGAAACAAACGAACTATTATGTGAAATCTCCTATTTAAACATGAGTTATTGAGTAGTTTCTTTTCTAGAATCTGTCTCCTGAAAAATTGACATTTCAACACGACCTATTTAAAGCTAAATATATTTTAAACAATATTTATGTGACGTGTAAATGTTTCAGCTATTACACAGTTCATGGTGCAGGGAGGCGACGTGGTACATGGAGACGGTACCGGCAGCGAGAGCATTTATGGACAAATATTCGATGATGAAAATTTTGAACTACAGGTATTCTTTTAAGACCTCAGTTTCGAAGCTTTTTGTTAGTGTTTAGTAGCAATATCACTCGAGAAGGAAAATGTGGTGACAAGTGCACGTCGATGAAGGTTCGCAACCTTTTTTTTACCAGGCGCAAGTGGATAATTTTCATGTTAGTTTTGCCTACTTAATTTCGGTGGCAATTTTTATTATCTAAATTACAATATAAAAAAGCCGTGGCAGCCTAATGGTTCGACCTACTGGCTCTCAAGCAGAATGTCGTGGGTTCGAATCCGGGCTCGCACCTCTGAGTTTCTCGGAATTTATTTGGGAAATTTATCATGAGCTTTTCGTTGAAGGAAAACATTGTGATGAGACCTGCTCGTTGAAGAAGGCTCAGGACTATTGCCTAAACCCTCGACTGAAAGGAGACCCGTGCCCAGCAGTGGGACGTATAATGAGTTGATGATGAAATTACAATATTATCATGAAACATGCTCCGAGGTCGGTCTCAGAGCATTGCAATTTATACCTTATTGCAATTGAAATAGCTTAAAATATATGGTCCTCTGTCTGGCGGTTCGTATACCTGAGTACCTTCTTATCCAATTGACAAAGTTATGTACAATTTTGTAACAAAAATTCACTTCATTTCTGCACCAATGTAAGTTAAGACTTAGCCTTCAAAACCGGAAATCAGTAATGCTCATAATACTGCTTACAGGCAGAAATGGGTATGTGGCAGTACTTCCTCGGACGAATTCTTTCACAAGGAGCCCGCTACTAAATTTTAGTGACGTGACGAACAAGTCGTGAGCCTGGTGGTAAACGACACACCTGTCCATAGCAGTTGCAGTGCCACTCAGAGCTTTAAAACGGAAAGATGCGGGCACTGCCTATCGACGCTCTAAGCATTACAGCTTCTTGTGAAAGAGCTCGCCCAGGAAAGTACTGCCACATTTATCACTATACCTTAACAAATTATCACCTTACCTATTTCTGCCGCCAAACAGTAATAGGAGCATTACTGTGTTATGGTTTTGTAGCGTAAGTGTGCTGGTGAAATTACAGGCACATGGGACTTGTCAACTTATACCTCAAGAGTGACGGGTGCAGTGGCAGCACTGCTACCACAACACTACTACTGTAATTTCACTAGCACTCTTACCCTACAAAACCGTAAAACAGTAACGTTACTGCTTGGCGACAGAAATAGGTAAGGTGATAATTTATTTATGTTTAAATTTTTATTGATTGAAAATGTAACCATGATATTCAATATTCTTTTGTGAAATTACCCCACGAGCTTAATTATTAATACAAAGATCGAACAATTAGAAAAAATTCCTTCGGCCGGATGGATTCGAACCGACGTCTTTTAGCAAATCGTGCCAGACGCTATGCCAACTAAGCCACGGAACGAACCAGCGGAACTCACGAATTCTTGTATATACTCTTTTTGTCGGTTCTTTGTATTTGGTTTTTCAACATTTATTTATTTATATTTCTTACAGCATAGGTTTGAAGGTGTTCTAAGTATGGCAAATGCAGGTCGGCCAAATACAAACGGTTCGCAGTTTTGTATAACAACAGTACCATGTCCACATCTGGATGGAAGGAATGTGGTGTTCGGAAAAGTGCTAGCTGGCTTGGGTGTTGCGCGCGAGATGCAACAGTGCGTTATGGACGATCACTGTACACCAGTTGTGGTAAGTTTTATATACAGGGTAGTTTGTAAAACACTAACAACCTCCCAGGACTATATTACTAACATCATAAATAACAACTTTTCTTCTATGACTTTTAATAATTTGTCAGATTTTACTTTCCCACAAAAATAACAATATTCAAATAGATCACTACTGCATTACTGCGTTCGGGCAAATGGGACTTGTCAACTTATGTCTCAGGATGACGGGCGTAGTGGCAGTGCCCCTCAGACCTTTGCGATTTAAAGCTCTGAGTGGAATTGCAACTGCTATGAACAGGCGTGTCGCTTACCACCAGGTCCATAGCTTTTTCGTTTCGTCACTTGGTATTATAAAAAAAATTTGGTTATAAAGATTTTCTCGTAAGTTTTTCGACATTCATGTGCGATATTTAAATTTATTTTGTAATTTACCATGACACCAGGAGCTTTTCGGTGATAGTGAATATCGTGATGAAACCTGCAACTGTTATGGACAGGCCTGTTGCATACCAGCAGGCACACGACTCGTTCGTCCAGTCATTTGATATTATATTAAAAAAAAAACAAAAACAAAAAAGAATGGTAACTACCACGTACAGATCTAAAAAGTGGTAGATAGTGCAACAAAAACTCGGAAAGTTTATTTTTAGTAAATTTATTATACTTTTGTAAAAAAATCACGGAACAAAATGCTGTTGTTTATGATGTTAGTAATAGTCCTACGAAATTGTTAGTATTTTTAAAATAATTCTGTAGTTGTCATCATAATGTTACTGCATGACAACTTTACAATGACATTTCAAAGATTCCATGGTGACGGGACCTCTAAAAAATTCGAGAAGTTAGTTGTATTAAAAAAAACTATAATCGCGAAAACCTAAGAACTCGATAGTGTTGAAAGATATTAAAAAGTTTTTTAAGGCAAAGTCATCGACCAGTTATGTCAAATATTAATGCAAATCACCTTATTCTGAACTTAAAATTACACAAAATACCCCATTGTTAATTCATGAAAGAACATTCCAATTTACGCTATATACGATTTGCAGAATATTTTGTTTCAGTACATTAAATTTATTAAGTAACCTACGCACTCATAGTCCCGCACTAGGAAAAACTCTGTATCGCGAGTGCCATGGACACATACATACACAACCACAAATCACACCCAAACTCACGAGAGAAATACATGTGGGTCTTACAAACCTTTCTCCCGGCACGATCAAATCCAAAACCAAAGGCTTACCTTAAGGCAGAGGACTGCTAATCTGCATACTGTCTGTAGTATGGAGATTAGCAATCCTCTTGAGTTATAGGTCCATGCTTATACTTATTATTTATTAAGTGTATCTGACTTGGAAAGGACTGCATTGACACAAAAACTTAACATAGAAAATGACGCTTTTTACAAAAGCTACGAATCCCTAGAGGATTCAATTATAAATGAATAGTATATCATTTTCTTAAAAAAATATGATATTAAGCACTCAGTATTGTTATACAAGGCGTCTCACGACTATGCTACACGGAAGGAAAGTACCTTAAATACCGTAGATCTTCTTAGAAAGTCTTAATTCTGATTTTAAAATCAATTCGAATTGCTTTCATAGATTTTTAAATAATCGCCTGTCTGAACCGGGAATCGAACTTTTTCGAACCTCGAAAATCGAATGTTTTGTTAATATGTTCTAGTAATCACAATTATTTAATGTGAAAATATTATGTCTTATTTGACCATTGTGTGTTGAGATAGTCAAATACTATTTATTTGACGGTCACTTTTTTAGCACTTGACAGGCAATTTACGTCTCTAGTCATGGTGAATAAATTTATCTTGATCATATTGTCACTTGATATTGTATTTGAAATGGATCTACTACTACCCTTATTTTATTTTAAAAATAAGTGACGATAAGGTGGACTATGGAGCATGCACATGCACACCTAAAATAATGCCTATTCACTGTCGCCTTGACAAGGCCCATACTAAATTGTCCTGTTGTAAATTTTGTTGTTTGTCGGCAGGACTGCGTAATAGAAAATTGTGGCGAGATCACGGATCCAAATATTTGGGATGTTTTTTGCAAAGATGAGACTGATGATCGGTTACCAGAGTACCCCGAAGACCATCCGCATATATGTAAATTTAGTGTGAGTACAATACTGACGGAATGCGGTCTGTACATTTAAAGGGGGCATTCATTATCCTGCATTGCAGTCCGCTTTGCCGTCCGCCGCGTATTGCAAGATTATGAATGTAGTCGCAGCGTGCAAGCCATCCTGCAATGCGTCCTGCGCGACTCTATTCATGGGCCATATGCAGGATAGTGTGTGAGCAGTCTCCTGCCTGCGCAGCGGACTGCCATGCAGGTACTGAATGGGTCTTTTAGCATACGAACTTTTTTTTATAATATCAAGTGACGGGACGTACAAGTCGTGCGCTTGATAGTAAGTTATAAGCCTGACCAGAACAGTTGCAGTGCCACTCAGAGCTTGCCGCACTCGTCACCCTGAGACGTAAGTTGACAAATCCCATATGCCTGTAATTTCACCAGCACCCTTACCCTTCAAAACCGGAACACAGTAATGCTGACATTACTGCTTGGCGTCCGAAATAGGTAACTTCCTGTCTTGTCTTGTCACCTACTATCGTCGTATAATATAAAAGTCTTGCAACTCAAAGATCACAATTTTTAAAAATTCCTATTGTTTAGGTAGACAAGTTAATGAATAAATTAGCGGACGTGAAGAACGCAGGCAATCATTTCTTCAGCAAGGCGCGGTACAAAACAGCTGCAAGGAAGTACAAAAAGTGTTTGCGATACATTGACCACGTTAAAGCACAGATTGACAAATTGAACGATACAAGAAAAGATGACTGTAAGTATGCAAAAGGGTGGTATAGTAAAGACCGCATCATGCTGGACACTTTAGACCGGTATTATTGCAATCGACATACGAATTGAATTTAAATCTTAAGTGTCAAGCTTGACGTGCTCTAGATCCTGTACAAAAGGGCCTAACAATAACAACAATAGTGCCCTTGGAAGAAAGTAAGGCACAAGCAGCTAATACAAAATTTTCAGGTAAATTAGTCGAAAACAATTTAGGTTTTTTGATCAGAAGAATTATTAAAATAAAATATATTATTGATATTAAAATAAACTACTTATTTTCGCACATGAAACCGAATACTGTCGTAACTCAAAAATGGTGAGAGAAAGCAAGATTTGAAGGCTCAAAAAAATTACTGAATGGAAGTTTCGGAGTTTTTGAATAATGTTTTACTACCATTATATTCCATTATATTTTATGAAATCACTCCACTAGTTTGTTATAATTATTGAACAAAGATCGAAACGGTAAGAAAAATTAATTCGATTCGGTTGTATTCGATCCAGCACCCTCAGGCAATCCGTTTCATGTGCTCTGCCAATTAAGCCATGGAATGAACCAGCAGATCTTACGATGCTTTTTATGTGTTTGTTGCAGATCTTTTTTTTGGTTTTTAACGATTTAATAGGATTATTTTTATTTATGCATAATATTTACTCATCCGCTTATAAAAGAGAATATAATTTTTTTGGTTATGTTCAATATTGTCTTTGAATTTTCAAATCGTGTATTTGCAATTTCACTATCTAGAGTTACTACAGTGTTTGCTTCCACGTGCGTTATGTTAAATATACATGAGACACATTTTGTACACAATTTTTCTCTAATTATTTATTTTAAATATTATGAAATTACTGTTGTAATTATAAAAAACTCTATCTTATTTTTAACCGACTTTAAAAAAGGAGGAGGTTCTCAATTCGACTGTACGTATTTTTTTGTAGTATGTTACGCCATAACTCATATAACTATAATTTGTGAACCGATTTTTATGATTCTTTTTTTTTTGTTGGTAAGACCTCAGTTCAGTAGTAGTTGTAACCACTAGTGGTCCCAATTGAATTTGAAGAAAATGTTCCACCTCTAAGGGTGGCAAACTGGGAGATGAATCCGGTTTCGCGCACATTCCGGTAACCGATTTTATTTTATTAAAAATAGCTGTAATTCCACGCCATTTTGGGGTCAGTTTTTTTAGTAGTCTGTACTAAGTTTATTCAGTATTTTTCTCTAAGGAAAATACAACCTCTAACATTTTGTAATACTCTACCCGAGATTACTGGCCTTTGCGCACGCTTTCCCACGGGCTTCGCGCACCCCCGCCCCGCGTGGTGAAGCGCGCCGGCCACCCCTCCCGCCCGGTTAGTTCGCTTGCGCTCTTGTGTTAGACATGACGTCGACGTCGTCGCGTATTTGTTTTGCGTGGTATTTCGGTGTATTCGCCTGTGTTGTTCAGTGGAGTGCAATGACGTTCATAACGATGCCTTATCATTACACAAATGAGGAGTACTGGGACGTGATGCGGTGTTACGTTACGGTATGTTATGCAAATAATGTTGTTGAGAAATGTTACTTAGTCGACGAGTTCCATTCTACTTATTGATATTAGAACTCAATTTTGTGTTAAGCTAGGATCAAAGTATGAAGGGAAAATTGTATTATTTTTAATACTACTGTTTAATTAAGTACGTAAGGCACGCGCTCGTGGCGCGGCGCGGGAGTTCAATTTCCTATCGCTCAGCTGTTTCATAGAGTAGCCCAAATGTAGAGTGTTAGTATTTGCAAAATGGCACGCCATTTTTTTTCTTATGTTTAATTTTTTTTTTGTTTATTTTACATATTCGGATTAAATATCAGCTACTCGTTTAAAATTCAGTTTCGATAAAAATGTTAGTAGTGCCTTTTTTGTTTCGAGGGTGCTTCAAGATATTAAATTATAATGTATGAAACGTTGTTTCAGTGTATGATACCACAATTACCTACATAATACAATGCAATTTGAACCTTGCGGCGTGCTACAGAAGACTAGAAGACAATGTTTCTTGTATAAAGTATTGCACAGAGGTAAGTGTAGTTTTGATAAAATGGTAACTTTAATAATTAGAAATATAGTTGCTCTCAACAACATGTACCTTTACATGAACTGCAATTGAGGCACCCGCGGCACAGGGTTTCCCTAGTGCGATAACGCACACACTCAACATAGCCCATGTTGAGTGTGTGCGTGATTTTTTATGAGCTAAGAACAAGAGCCCAACTTCAGCTTTCTACGTGGGTAGTTTTATCTTACGGCGCAGTAAATTTATTTCCGGTAGGCAGTGGAATTATTGTATGTTCTTGTTGCAGATGTTTGTTTTTAGTTTTTTGACTAAATATGATTACAAATTAATATGAATATTTATTTCAGGTTTTGCACATAGACCCGCGTAATGACAAAGCACTTTATCGGCGAGGTCAAGCAAATTTCGCTCTCAAAAACTACGACTTGGCGCTTTCAGATCTCCGACAGGCAGAAAAGGTATCTCCGAACGACAAAGCTATACTAAAATTACTTAACGAGGTACGGCGGTCTAACAAAATCTACAACGATATGCAAAAACAAAGACTGTCAAAATTTTTTCGTGAGCAAACGGAGAAAATCACGGTCGGATACGACTGAATTAAGACTTAAAGTAGTTATATACGATATTCATAGATAAAACAAATTTATGCAAGTATATGTTATCCGTGTCTGTGGGGCAAGATATTAGGAAACTTGGCCAAGTTTCCAAATTCAATGTGCGCGTTCACAGAGTGCAATTTTCTAATTTAAAACATAACTGTACAATTGGAAATGAAATTATCTTTTCGGGGTTAAATTTATTGTCAAACTTAAGAACACGTTTCTGAAACAACGACGGTACCACAAACATCCAGACCCGAGACAATATAGAAAAGTTAGTTTTCTCCACTGACCCGGCCGGGGATCGACCCCGGGACCTCAGAGATGGCGACACCATGAAAACCGGTGTGCAAGCCACTCGACCACGGAGGCCGTCAAAATATATACAAAATATACATGGTTGTGAATTACAGTGGTGATGGCGGCCGGAGGTTCTAAATCTGAAATTTTCAAACAAACGAAAGTAACGGTCCCGTGGCCACGGCTGGCTGAAAATAGTTTCATCTCCAATGTGTAACAATCGCGAAAACCTAATAACTCGATATTAATGTACAAATAAGTTACAGGCAGTTCTCGTACAATGAAGCAGCGATGCGAGACATTTAAAGCATGTTCATATACACGCGTACGGTATTGTAGGTACGCGGTATTCCCACCGTTCACACCTTTGCTGATATCGCTACCGCAATGGGTAGCGAAGTCCGTTATTCATTATCATTTATTATTATGTTCACTAGGCGTAACTAACTAGCGTACGCCTTGTACAATGAAACATGTTTCGCAAAGCAAGCGAAAGGGTACTGCGAAAGGGTACCGCCTACCTGTATGGTATGGTGCGGCATTGCGCGAGATACCGAACAGTATTTTCGCTACCCACAGCGGTAGTGAATATAGCTTATGTATGAACAGGCCTGTAAGTCGAGTTTTTAATTAGCTTCACAGAACTGACGGTCACATTGCAAAATAAGTGTATGTATATTACAATTTTGTTCAGTTTTCTCTGAAACAGAATTATTTAAATACAAGTATTATAAGCGATGTAGACCTACTGAGTGAATCATTGAAGTCGATCTCTTAGGCAACATTTTTTTTTCATCAAAAAGTGGCAACAGCTTTGTGCACATAATTGATAATCCGACTGTACTTTGGACTACTTTAATTTAATACTGTACTTTAATTTTTACCTAAATTACGTTTCCAACCTGTGGGTACAATAACAAAGAACAGCCCTACGCTCCGAGTGACGTGTACGCATTTACGCGCGGAGCAAGCGGGAGTTGCACCACTGGTCATATACACGAGCCTACTATGTAACATGAGACGGACCACTTGCTCAACTTGCAGTTATTTTATGTACTTTTTTTTAATGTGTTAAGTAAATTGCTTAAGCTGTCATTCGGACGGTAACGGCTTGTTTATTAAGGGCGCATGGGAGAAAACAAGCGATAACACAAAAGCAGTGAAGTGATAAATCACTGTCTAAAGCCTTTGATTCTTCTTAAAAGTACGGAGAAATTAAACAAATATTCACGTATTTAAGAGCGGTTACATACTCACATACTCGCGACACTGCGTGACTCTTATTTATTCCAATGAGTCATTAATATCATACCTGTTAACCGCGACTCTGAAGTGAACGACTGCGGTCGTTTGCGGCTAGTCGCTTACTAGAAAATGGCACTTAGCATCGATGCAAACGCGCGATTGCATCGCTTATGTCGAATATTAAAAACGCGTGTTGCCTTTGCATCGCGATTGTATCGTTGTTTAAGTCGCGCGTGTGTGACATAATTTACCACTGAATCGCTGCAGACGGCTTGCTAAAATCGCCGCGTATAACCGTTATGAAGACAATATTGATTATAGTTGTGATTTACAAAAATACCTGTTTCTTTCTTATACTTGTTAAGACAATAAAAAAAAAGTAAAACCAAAATGTAAAAACAAGCAAGCAAAGAAATATTATTCTGAATTTTTCCTTATACCTAATATAAATAAAAAAATCTAAGCGTAGAACATAATATGAGTGTTCCGATTATATTTTTCCAATTTTTCAGATTTTTTTTCTGAAAAGTTTCCTAAATTCGAAATTTTTCAGAAAATTTCTCTCTCACTACTTCATGTTCATTGTTCATGGATGGGAAATCGATCATATGCAAGTCTATTGCAATATGTACAACATAGTTAATGATCCGATACTTGGTGGAGTTTTTGCTCTGTCCGCAATATCAATACCTCCCAAATATTTTTAATCAAGTAAATTAAGTATTACGCAGAAACGAAACACACGTCAAACCTTTGCAGTGGTTGCTTCTAGGGTAGCAACTAGGTTTGATGTAAGTTCATGAATGTTAAAGTTATTTTTTAAGTGCTGCCACCCCAGTGTCTAATTGTAAGCACCCATAATTTCTTTTTGAGACCGTGTTCAAATTAGATGTTTGTATTGAAGCCCGACCATTTTGTAATGTGATGATCCATGTTGGATTCTTTATGCGATGTTATGCGAAGAAGCATTACTTTTATCTATTTTGTGCTCATAACCAAAAAGGTTTTTTAAGGGGTCAGACATCTTGAAGCACTGTCTTTTTTAGTCGATAGAAATAATTGGCAGAACTGCTTATCACACTTATCACGCCATTTTCGCTCTTGTTATGGACATAAAGATTTTTCGAACCGGCGCGCGCGTAATGCTATTTCGTGTCCATAAATGTGGAATCCCTTACCGATAAAATCTCCGGTTTGATTTTCATCATTTGTGATTGAACAAAAGAATAAACGCGAAAATCTCCCGGCGCGATATCAACATTGTAAAATGGCGGTTTTCACGTTTCTGGCATGTTATTGACCTTTCGTTCTACCACTGCTAATGTAAAAAATGTGACAATACTTGTTTTTTCCCCCTATGCCTGTACGCAAGTTCTTGTATAATGGAAAAACATTTACAATAAATCTGAAATGTCGGAGAGAGGAATGATGTTATGGCCCCGCATCTTACTTTCAAAAGAAATGGAAAATAACTTATGTAACGTACTTATGAGCAGTTTGATCTTGATGAAAAACATGGGCTAAATTAGAATCGCACGCGATTTTTGTTGTACAAATTGTTAAAGGTCCTAATAATAATAATTCTTTATTTCGGACCATAAAAATATAGTATGTTTGGAAAGAACTTGGAACAAGATTAGTGGAAAAACAGTACAAATAAAATTATTTTTCTTATGACAAAATGGGTACGCCCTTGACTTGCTCTATCTAATGTATTTGTTTGTGAGAAAGATTTACGCGTTAGGGCTCGTACAGCGTGCGGGAGATATTTCGCGACTGCGGTCGCACCGACTCGCTACGACTTGTTTTAACATGTAAAACTAAATGGCTTGGTGCAGTGTGCGCGCGACCGGCGACCATTGGTCGTGAGACTTGCAGCGATCAGTCGTCGCAAATTGCTTGCGACTAGTACTAGATAATCAATTAATGTTTCTATTATTAGATTATTATATAAGTACTTAAAATTATAATAATGGACCCAGATAGGTTAATTTATGCAGTTCGTAATCGCCGCTGAGTATTAATTGGATGAATATTAAATCTCCTTATCCTTCCTATGGCACGGACCCGTAAAATGGAATTTTCCAACAAAAAAAGTTCTGATACTATATCCATTTTCCCTGTAGGTACGATAATTTAAATTATGATGATTCGAAAATTCACCAAGCTATCGGTCGGTCGCCGGTAGTGTTACGTCGCTAGTCGCCCGCATGCTGAACTGCATTTTGTCGTTACAAGTTACGAGTTACGACATATCGCCGGCACGGTGCACGAGCCCTTATTGTAATCTACTCTGTCAGTTTATCAAAAATTACATTTCGAAATGCGTCAATATTATTGAGGGTGATGTCTGAATATTGCATTTTTATTTATTGCTGTTATGATCAAACAAAATTGTGCGAGTTCAATTTAGACGCGTAATTTCACTTAGATATTAAAGTTGGCCGTAAGGCTGCTAACAGATTGACTGCATGTTTGCAGTTAATGCGTGAAGTCGTAATCAACTTCTTTCAGCCGAGACGGCGACTGCATGAAGCTGACAACGACTTCCCGCATTAACTGCATGCATTCGATCTCGGCTGCATGGAGTTCATTACGATTTCACGCATTAACTGCAAACATGTGGTCAATCTGTAGCAGCCTAACTTCGTTTTAACATGCGATTTAGTATTCACTGACAAATAATCATTACACTCATGGAATGATTTGTTAGTTTTCCAAATGGATTTGAACATGTCGGTTTGGACTATGGATGCAAATGAGGAGTAAATTTAGCTGGAACGTTTTATGGGTTTTTGGTCCATAATCCACAAAATCAGAGCTGGTGGTACAACAAACGTTAAGCAACATTTAGCATTATACGTTATCTTGTTTAGGTACATGTGATACTTTCACAAAAAGAAGACGGAAGCACATTTTTGGTGATAAATAGCCTCAGAGTTGTAAATGTAATAAAAAACTACAGCTGCTAAAATTGGTTTTATTGAACACTCCAAACTCTTACACCTTGTGACACCTCTTACAAAAGAGAATATGAATGTTTTATTTTTAACATCTTCCCCCGTAGCATGGCTACGCATGATAGTCGCGACGCGCGCGATAAAACTGGAATAAGCACGCGCTATTGGCTGTCTCAATTAGCCCCCGTAGCATGGCTACGCATGATAGTCGCGACGCGCGCGATAATATTGAAATAAATTAGATCTGATTGACACAGCCAATAGCACGCGCTTATTCCATTATTATCGCGCGCCACGCGACTATCATACGTAGCCATGCTACGGGGGCTGATTAAATTTAGATAGCCAATAGCGCGCGCTTACTTCAATTTTTGTCGCGCGCGTGTCGCGACTATCATGCGTAGCCATGCTACGGCTATTTTTTATTATATCTGTTTTTTTTTTTACTTTTGAAGGTTCAGATTCAATGGTCGATGTGGTCTTCTCGTTAATGGCCAGACATTGCGAGAATAACGTGGCATCCCAATTGGTGTAATGTTAAATACATCATTTGGTAAATATTTAATTTTATTGCTGGATTTTTGCATCCAAATTTTTGTCAAATGAGGTAAAAAGCAAATACGCTACATCAAGTGTAGTGCCACCGTAATAATAATTAATTGGTGTTTATTATTGTCTTACTAAAAATATATACACAAGATGAAACTCGCTATAATGCACACATTATAGCGAATTTCACCTTGTGTA